GCAATATAATCCAAAAACGAATTAAGACAATTCAAAATAATAAAATATTTACGAATAAATTTAACTAAGAAAGTACAAGACTTACACTACACTGAAAATTACAAAGCATTTTTGAAAGAAATTAAAGAAGACCTAAGTACATGTAAAGACATCCCATGTTCATGGATCATATGACTTAATGTCCCCATACTGGCAAGCCAAAAAAAAAAAAAAAAAAAAAAAGAATATTGTTGAGATGGCAATACTTCCTAAATTGATCTACAGATTCAATGTAATCCCTATCAAATTCCAACTGGCTTCTTTGCAGAAACTGAGAAAGCTGATCCTAAATTGGGTGACCCAGAATTGCCAAAACAATGTGGAGAAAAAAAACATGAAGGACTCATAGTTCCCACTTTTTTTTTTTTTTGGCAGCTGGCCAATATGGGGAACTGAACCCTTTACCTTGGTGTTACACGGCCATGCTGTAACCAACTGAGCTAACTGGTTAGCCCCCACTTTTATTTATTTAAAAAAAATTTTTTTTATTTTTCTTAATTTTATTTTGTCGATATACAATGAGGTTGATTATTGTGGCCCATTACCGAAACCCCCCTCCCTCCTCCCTCTCCTCCCTCCCACCCAACAATGTCCTTTCTGTTTGCTTGTCGTATCAACTTCAAGGAGTTGTAATTGTTATGTCTTCTTCCCCCCTGCCCCCCGGTTTTTGTGTGTGTGTGTGTGAATTTATTTATTTATTTTTAGCTCCCACCAATAAGTGAGAACATGTGGTATTTCTTTTTCTCTGCCTGACTCGTTTCACTCAGTATTATTCTTTCAAGGTCCATCCATGTTGTTGCAAATGGTAGTATTTCATTCGTTTTTATAGCTGAGTAGTATTCCATTGTGTAGATATACCACATTTTCTGTATCCACTCATCCGATGATGGACATTTGGGTTGATTCCAGCTCTTGGCTATTGTGAAGAGTGCTGCAATGAACATTGGGAAACAAGTATACCTTCGACTTGATGATTTCCATTCCTTTGGATATATTCCCAGCAGTGGGATAGCTGGGTCGTATGGTAGATCTATCTTCAGCTGTTTGAGGAACCTCCAAACCATTTTCCATAGGGGTTGCACCATTATGCATTCCCACCAACAATGTAAGAGAGTTCCTTTTTCTCCGCAGCCACGCCAGCATTTATCTTTCAGTGTCTTTTGGATTTTGGCCATCCTAACTGGGGTGAGATGGTATCTCAGTGTAGTTTTTATTTGCATTTCCTGGATGCTGAGTGATGTTGAGCATTTTTTCATATGTTTGTTGGCCATTTGTATATCTTCCTTAGAGAAATTCCTGCTTAGCTCTTTTGCCCATTTTTTAATTGGGTTGCTTGTTTTTTTCTTGTAAAGTTGTTTGAGTTTCTTGTATATTCTGGATATTAATCCTTTGTCAGATGTATATTTTGCAAATATTTTCTCCCACTCTGTTGGTTGTCTTTTAACTCTGTTAATTGTTTCTTTTGCTCTGCAGAAGCTCCTTAGTTTGATGTAATCCCATTTGTAGCCCCCACTTTTAAAACTTACTGCAAAGCTACAATAATCAAGACAATGTGGGACTAGCATAAAGATTAGACATATAGGCTGGCTGGTTAGTTCAATTGGTTAGAGCATGGCTTGATAACACCAAGGTCCAGGGTTCGATCCCTGTAACTAGCTAACTGCCAAAAAAAATAAGGTCAACTGGCTTTTTACAAGGGGGTCAAGACAATTCAATACTGGAAAGAACAGTCTTTTCAATGAATAATGCTGGGACAATTAGATATTCACACACACAAGAATGAAATTGGACCCCTATCTCATATCATATGCAAAAATTAACTCAAAAATGATCAGAGACCTAACTATAAGAGCTAAAACTCTAAAACTCTTAGAAGAAAACATAGGTGTAAATCTTTATTACCTGGATTAGGCAATGGTTTCTTAGCTATGAAACCAAAAGCACAAGTTACCAAAAAAAAAAAAAAAAAAAGTAAATTGAACTTCATCAAAATTAAAATTTTTTGCAGCATAGGGCATCATCAAGAAAGTGTAAGACAACCCAGAAAATGTTAACAAAATCATATATCTGACAAGAGACTTGTATCTAGAATATGTAAAGAACTCATAACTCAATAATAAAAAGACAAATAGCCCAGTTTAAAAAATGTGCAAATAAGGGCCGGCCCGTGGCTCACTCGGGAGAGTGCGGTGCTGATAACACCAAGGTCCCGGATTCGGATCCCATATAGGGATGGCCGGTTAGCTCACTGGGTGAGCGTGGTGCTGACAACACCAAGTCAAGGGTTAAGATCCCCTTACCGGTCATCCATTAAAAAAAAAAAAAAATGTGCAAATAATCTGAAAAGACACTTCTCTGAAAAGAAGATATATGAATGGATAAAAAGCACATGAAAAGATATTCAAAATCATTAGCTATCAGGGAAATGCAAATCAAACCATAACGAGATACCACTTCATACCACTATGATAGCTATATTCAAAAGGACAGATGGTAATAACTGTTGGTGAAGATGTGGAGAAATTTGAACCCTCATACACTGCTGGTAGAAATGTAAAATGGTGCAGTTACTTTGGAAAACAATCTAATAATTCCCCAAAAAGTTAAACATAGAGTTACCATATGACCCTGAAATCTACTCCTAGGAATATACCCAAGATAAATGAAAACACATATCAACACAAAAACGTGCACATGAATGTTCACGGCAGCCTTATTCATAATATCCAAAAAGTAGAAACAACCCAAATGTCCATGAACTAATGAATGGATAAATAAAAAGAGGTATATCCATACAGTGGAATACTATGCATTCATAAAAAAGAATGGAATTCTGATACACGCTAAATCATGGGTGAAAGTTGAAAACATTATGTAAGTGAAAGAAGTTTAGTCACAAAGGCAGCATATTGCATGATCCATTTAAGTGAAATATCCAGAATAGGCAAATCCATAAAAACAAAGTAGATTAGTGGATACCTATAACTGGAGGTAGGGCATGAGGGGAAAAGTGGAAGGAAAAAGCTATTGAGAATAGTTTTTTGAAGAGGGGAGTGATAAAATGTTCTAAAAATAGGGCTGGCCCATGGCTCACTTGGCAGAGTGCGGTGCTGATAACACCAAGGCCACAGGTTCGGATCCTATATAGGGATGGCCGGTTGGCTCACTGGCTGAGCATGGTGCTGACAACACCAAGTCAAGGGTTAAGATCCCCTTACCGGTCATCCTTTAAAAAAATATATAAATAAATAAATAAAATAAAATGTTCTAAAACTGAATATATAAAAACCATTGAATTGCATGTTTTTTGGTTTGTTTGGTTTTTTTTTTTTTACAGCTGGCCGGTATAGGGATCTAACCCAGGACCTGAATTATACACTTTAAATAGGTGAATTATATAGTGTTTAAATTATAATTTCAATCAAGCTGTTATTAAAAAAAAATTCAATGGGTCTGAAAGCCAGGAGGTCTCTGATGACCCCAGCCAAAGCCATTTCAGTGCCATGTCAGCATGGTGGAAAGCGGGAGGCTGAGGAGTGCATTCAAGCAAGGAAGAAAGGAAGATCCGTGGAGCAGACTCAGAGGCTCAGCTGGCCATGGTGGTGGTAGTGAGGCTTGATGGAGGGGAGAGCTTGTGGGTGTGTTTTCTGCAGGCCCTATAAGACACCATTACATTCCTCAGCCTGAGATCCAGCGCCTAAAAAAGCTGGTAAAGCTGACTCTGCGGGCCTCTCCTGCCTTCTCTCTGATGCTGGCCAGACCGGCCGGGCCAGTCCTCTCTTCTCTATCCCACTAAAACTTAGCCACACCCTACTTCATCTTGGAGCCCTTCCCTGGAGGTGCCAGCTCCACTGACCTCTCCCTTTTCAACCTGCTTTCACACCGCTTACATGTCATCACTACACTGTACTTTACAGTTTCCATGTGCAACTTGCAAGTATGGGGAGGACGCAGACATACACACACTGCTTCCCCAGCCTGTGAGGACAAGGGGACCTGGGCATGGTTCCAGCCTATATATCCCCAACTCTTATTCCCACCTGCTCAAGCAGGTACTGTGCAACCCCTTGCTTGGTGCCTCAAAGATTTCTGAGAGCCCCAGGGAATGATGCAGGTGAGCTCTGGAACAAGTCCAAGAAGGTACCATGTCTATAGTCTCTTTCCTCTGCTGCCCAAGGTCTTGCTGGCAGTGGGGCCCCTGAGCAGGGCAGCTTGTGCTTCTGCCTCACCAAGTTGGTGGTGACAAAGCCCATGTTCTGAGACCAGTTTTGTTTCTGTGCTTTTTGTGGAGTCAGAAGTGAGATCATCCAGGGCTCAGCTCAGGATACATTCTAGTGGAAGAACCACACAGAACTCAGCCTCAAGCTGCACCCCTTGCCATAATCTACAACCTCTGATCAGTATGTTCTCTGACAGGCCATGGGTTTCTCCAGCCATGAACAGGAATCCCAGATTCACTGATGCTGAACTGGGGACCTGATTTGGGAGTGAGAGATTGCCTGGTGTCTGGGATCCAGTACTTTGTGAAGTCTGACCAACTCATTCATTTAACTTTCTCTTATGACCATCACATCGCCCCTTGCTGGCCTTGTACAGGCTGGCTTCCCTTTGGGGAGGTCATTAGATCTGGGTTTCTAGAAAAGCCATGTTTTCTTGGTGTCTACATGTGTCCACTCATTCATCCAGCAAGTAAGATATATCTACTAATCCTTGGGCCCCAATGTTTTCAGAAAAGCACAAGTCCCATGAGGCTGGGGTTAAGGTGGGAGGAGGCCTTCCATATACTCAGTCCCCTATTAAGTTGCTCATTAATTAGCATATGAAGTAAAGGCTCTGATGAAACCTGAAGTAAATGCTGTTTAGCTTTGTTGAACAGTGTTTCCCAAACATATCTGTCCACAGGACCCCTTTTTGCCCATCCCTCCAACTATCATCCAGGAGCACATATGGGAAATACTCACCTCTAAAATCCAGAACATGTGGCTGGCACTCTGGCCCCAGCCTAGAAGTCTCCTTGGCCAACTTCTCTCTTCTCCTGCCACAGGGACTCCTCTCCATATCTTTCAAGGCATAGCCCACAGCTGCCTCCACCTGCTGGGGTGCCAGTATCTCTGAACCACCTGTTCCCTTAAATACCCAGGGACCCTCTCTCCACCTCATACCCACAGCTGCCTCCTGTTTCCAACACTAAGTATCCTTGAGTATCCCTGGATGCCTGTCCCCCCCACCCCCTTTTCCAGGGCATTCCTTGCTACCCTGAATTGCCCCCATGAGGCCATGGGCATGGGATACCACACCTGGCAACAATCCTTTGGGGCAAGACTGGCCCTTGAAGGGCTCTCAGAACCTGAGCCCCCCTTCTCAGCTTCCCTGCCCCATAGGGACTCTGCCTCAGGCAGCAGAAGAGCAGGGGACAGGATTAGAGGTGCAGATGGGGGCGGGGTGGCAACCCAGCACAGGCTTCTCCTTTGGGCAGGGACCAGAGGCTGCCTCCATCCCTGAGCCTGGCACTTGGTGAATGAACGATCAATGACGGTTCTTAGAGAGAAGCCCCCACCCTCCATCTCCCAAGTCCCGGACATACTCCTCACGAGGGAATTGGCCACTTCCCAAAACTCAGACACATCCTGGCTGGAGCTGGCAGTGGGCCGGGCACCCCCGGGGCAGCCGGGCAGGGCGGGGTGTCCTGGAGAGCCGCGGATGGGCCTCACACCCAGGCTGGGCCAGGACACCCCGTCCTTGGCCGAGGCCCAAACCGGCTCTGTTTACAGAATCTGTCAGCTCTGTTCCCCCTCCCCCTCCCACCACTTCCCCTAGAGTCCTGGGGGCTGGGAGAGGGCAGGCGGGCCTAAGGGAGCCTAGGCGGCTGCCAAATCCCAGCAGCCCCTCAGTCCCCCTCCCCTTCTCGGCTCCTAAGACCCAGCCGCCCCCACTTCTCCAGTCTTCTGGTTTCCTCTTGGGTGGCACTCCACCCCGAATGAATGTGCATTTTCAGAAAAATCTTCAGAAACAATGCTTACCCCCAAGGAAAATTTAGCTAATGGTGAAAAGATAGGCACAGGGAGAGACTTCTAGGCTAGGGGCTTACTGGAATTCCTCCAGACAGCCGGGAAGGAGGCTCCCTCCTTCCTCGGGATCCCAATTTCTTGGCCCCTGGGAGTATTTCCAGAACTGCTGGAGGGTCTTGGCGCAAAACAGATGTAGCCTGTCGGGCAGGCCGGGGGCTTTCGGGAGTAGCAACGTCCTGAGATAAGGCCAACGGCGGGCGGGCAGGGCCGCCGTGACTCAGCTCCCGCCGGCCGCAGGGAAGCTCCGCAGGCCCCAAAGGTGCAAGACGGGGAGGCGGG